CAGCCAGGGCAATGGTCTCCTTGGTGGCACGTTTGATCGCTTGCTGGACCTGCTCTTTCCACTGCAGCTCATGGTCGAAAATGACGCCTAGTAGCTTCGCTGTGGGTGATGGTTCAACAGTTACCCCGTCCATGACTATTTGCCCTTGTAGCTGCTCGCTTCTTCTCCTAGTGAGGTGGATAAGCTCGGTCTTTTCGGCTGCGAAGCAGGAGCCAGTCCGTTGCGCCCACGCTTCGATGCGAGGAATATCCTCTGACTGGATTTTGGCCAAGTTCTCTTCGGCTGAGCGGCCTACTCGCCAGCGGAAGTAGTCATCAATGAAGGCTGATGCGCCACCACGAAAGGTGACCGGTTGGTCGACTAGGTCGGAGTTGAAGAATGTGAACAGAATGGGTGGGAGGGGTGAACCCTGCGCTAGTCCCGCGTTGGGTAGCATAGCGACCTCGGTACGGAAGTCATCAAATCCTATGCTAGCGAAGCGGTCGCTCATGAAGCTTGCAATCCACTTTCTAGCGACGACTGGGATTCCCTTTGCTTGGAGTCGGGCGTCAAGGCTGATTTTGTTGACTCCGTTGAAGGCCCCTTTCAGATCGAACGCAATAAGTGTCACTACTGCATGTTTATACCAAGCTTGGTCGATTGCGTTGGAAAGGACTAGCAGTGCTTGTTCGGTTGTCCTGCCCGGTCTTCCTCCGAATTGTGTGTCGGGTAGTAAGCCATGCTTCTCGGCGAGGTGCGATAGTGGTCGAGCTATAACTGCCTCAAGAAGTTTACCGAGGGTGTTGAGGAGCGAGATCGGGCGATACACCCCCGGGATCGAGTAGTCCGGTTTCCCAGGTTTCCGCAATACCACGATTTTTGCTCCCCGCCATCGTTTCGAGTGGTGCCCTAGGTCGATTGATGCTGTGAAAATTCTGGTGATGACCTTTCCTAGATACTTCCATAGGCGTTTCCACACAAGCGTCGGTAGACCGTCTTCGCCCGGTGCCGTTGAGCTTTTGGCTGCTTCAAGAGATCGCTGGATTTCTAGTTCCGTGATTGGTGGCCAGGGTAGCTCCAACGGGGCCTGGACTGGCGGGTCTTCGTTCGGTTGGTCCATCTCAGGGAAGAAAGTGTCTAGAAACGCTCGTGCTTTGTCCTCGTTCTCCACTAGTTCGTTGGACTCGACATGCAAGGCCGGGACGCAGCCCCAGGCCTCTCGCGGTTTCATATAGGTAGCAGCTTTCCATAGCGTTCCTTCACCAGCTCCGTCTAGGAATTGTCTCCAGTGTGACTTTTTGACCTTTTCAATCGTGCGTGTCCAGACTCGACGCTTTTGCTGCATCTCTTGGAAGAGGGTCACTGAGCGTGTATGGTCTCGCCCGTGTTCCGCACAACTCTCTTGCCATTTCCGACGTAGGCGGTTGACCTCAGTCTGTTGGACTTTGAGGTCTGGTGTGAACCAGCGTTTAGAATAGGGGGATGGGCGTCGGTTTGGAGTGTGGTTCTCTACAGCAGATACCGTGATTTCCGTGAGCCGTTCGACTGCCTTGTCTAGAGCGGGTCTCGTCCTGATGTCTTTCCATGGGCCTATCCGCAGGAGCACTTCGGCTCCGATCTTGTCCCAATCTGCTCGTTCGTACGCTTTCCTCGTCTTAGCGGTAGGCTTGTGATAGTGTTTAAGGCTCCACTCCGAGTATGTCGCCCGGTGGTCCGACCCGTAATTTTCGTGGTAAAGATGACATTTGATGAGCAGGCCCGGTTGGTCCGTCACGGTCAAATCGATAGTAGTGCATTTTCCTGGGTCGTTGAGAGGCCAGAAGGTCGCTGTGCCTCGAGGTAGGCAGGTTTGTAGATTGTGCTCTTGGAAGAAGGTGATGAGTTCGCATGCGTCTTCAATAAATCTCGGTTGAATATGGTTGCCGCCCCACATTGGGTGATGACGGTTGAAATCTCCTGATAGAATAACGCTCGTAGACCTCCGGTCGTCCCGCCGGGCGATTGAAATTGCATTTTGAATTGCTGTGAGCATGGGTTCTGCCGATCCTTCATCGGGAGCGTGCAACGGGACAGAAGGGAGGTAAACGGAAAACAGGAGAATCTGGGAGTCGGCAGTCCAGATCTTGATAGCGGTAATGTCTGGGTGTTCGCACCGAATCTGCCGGTGCGAGGAGGTTGATAGGTTGCGGATAACATATACAGAAACCGAACTGCGTCCGTGTCGACGGTTGGTCGGTATAGCTGCCATGCACTGTGATTAACGTGTGTTTAATAGCTAGTGATGGACGGTTCCTGGATTAAGAGAATATCTAGGTCCTGGCTCTGGTAGTCGTTGATGAGAGCCTCTATTATTGGCCCCGATTTCATAATGTTTAACTGTAGTACGCGTAGATTAGTCCCTAACATTGAGAGGGGTTGAAAGTTGCGGTGGTTAAACACTGACGATCGCCGGTGGGATGTTCACCGCTGCACTCGAGGCATCGCGGCCGTACACCGGATGGGAAATGTTCACGAAGGTGTGGGCCGGCACAGTGGTTATAACGTGGTGTTTCCTTGCACGACTAAGCTTGATGTCTAAAACGTTGGCATCGGAAGCATCTCTTTTTCTTGATCTCACACGGCGCTCCACGCTGCCTATCTGTCTTTGGCTAACAAGAAGACTGTTGTTGAGGATGTATTCGGCTCCCTCTGCAGAGTTAAACTAGATGCCTAGCGATGCGAATTTCCCTAGCACTTTGTCCTTCCGCTTGAGCCACGCTACCTCTTCGATCCGGAACCCCTGTTTAGCTAGGTCGTTTTCTTCTATGATCTTCTCAATAGCTTTCGTGTTGGCGTTTTTTAGGTCGAGATCCTCTGTCGGGGCGCGGCGCACGACGACACAGAACCGTGGTTTTACCAGTTTCGTGTTGTTTCCGAGTTCGTTCAACCATTCGGTGTTGTTACGAGCCACCTCGGCCGACTCCGGGTCCTTAAATCGAATCACATAACCTGTTTTGGTGGTGCCAACTCCGGCAACCTGGGCATCTTGCGTTGAGGGGGCGTTTAATAGCGCGGTGCGTATATGGGTGTTTGCGGCGTTCGTGGGGAAATAGCGGCTAAAGGTGTTTCCGTTGGTGTTGTCGTTGTCTGATGGGTCCACGAACGATCTCTGGGTGCTGATTCGGATGCAGTTCCGTTCTTTCTCGGGTCTCTGGTGGTTTGATTGAGGGGAGCTGGTACTGCCGCTGGCTGCTACTGCGGCCCAGGATCTGGCCTCGGTCACTGGCGTGAGGGTTTCGATTCGTTCTCGCAGGGTTCTGATTTCGTCGTAGAGCTTTCCATTCTGATCACAAAGGACGTTTTGATTGTGTTTAACTTCCAGGAGCTCCGCTTTGGTGGATTCGATTACGGTGGTGTGGTAGGCGATAACTTCCTTCAGGCTGCTGATGAGCTGCCGGATCTCCTTGGTCGTCACCCGTCCAGTGCTGTCTTCCGTGTTTGCAAACTCAGGATTCGAGCGTGCAATAGTGGTGATTTCGTCCCCATGGCGAGGGCTTCTTCTTTTACGAGGCACAATCGACGGTTCGAAGTTCTCGCGTGTGAAAATCGCTGTCCCTCGTTGAGCGTTTGTGGGAGGGGGTTCGGGCCCTCCCGCGGGTGGGTCCGCCATCGGTCCGGGGTTAGCTCCCGCTCGGCACACACCCACAACAGTTTTATATCAAGATAATATCAACCACCACGTTCTTGCAGTCCGCGGGATTTCGATTCCGGTCTTCCAGAAGAAGTACCGTAAATGATACAGTCGGTTGGTTGGTTGGTGGATGTCATTTACGCTGACCCCTCGCTTGAGAGCGATATGCAGCATACGACTACTTCCTAAATACATGTTGTTTGATTCCCGAGATTGTTCCAAACTTCCTGACGGTGGACTTTGAGCCTCACCTGGTAAAGCCTTTCGTGGCATCGTGGCCTTTTGCGCTATTAGGCTGCCCTCTTGGCGCGGCTAGGATGAGTTCCCGGACTAGGCGGCCAACTCTTGTCCGCAGCTGGCTGCATCTCCACCAGAAATCGCGAGAATGCCGGTAATGCTGAGTTCAAGAACCTGGTCAACGATTGGGCGGCGGATGTGGTTTTTTGGCGTTTCTTCTTTCTTTTCTCAAGCTAGAATGGCGACGGTTTGTTGTGAAAACGGCGGCGAAGTTCTTCAATTGTAAGTAGGGGATTAGGAGGTGTGGGTTGAGGTCTAGTCGTCGGTGGCGGTGAAGATGTGGTGGGTTGCTGGAGAACAGAGGCGTAGGTTTGGTTCTGGTATGTGGGGGGAGATGTGGTCTTCGGGGTGGGTTGGACAGATTGTGGAGGAACGGTGGCTGGTCGCGGTGCTAGCGGTACTGATTCGAGCCTGGCAGGTGGTAACTCTGTAGAAGTCTCGTGTTCGGGTTCCGCTTGGTTCACGATTGTAGGAGCTGTTGGTGTCTGGTGCGGGTTGGGTCGAGAGCTAGATTCGACAGCGGAGATCTGGGTAGATGGGTTTGCGGAAAAGGGCGTGGGGGAGTGAAGAGGTGGAGACGGTAAAAACGGTTTAAGGTCATGGCAAATGACTTGCCATAAGCAGTCTTCTTTGTGTATTCTCGATAAATCGCCAGTGGGGTTTTCCTGGATGACATCCAGCGGGACCACGACCTCATCCTTGATGACCTATGCTTTCTAAGTATAGCGTCCCTCTCCGTGCTTCCTGGATGACCCTGATTATACCTTGAATCATCTCCCATGATGGAGCTCAAGTGAACCTCCTCGATAGAGAATACAGCTGTAATATGTCTGCTTCCTTCTCGCGCCTGCCCACGATTTATTAAGAGTGTGCACTCGCTGTGCCCGTTATTTTCTCCTTTTCTAAAGAGCTAAATCGTGAAGCCACGGAAGTCGAAGTCGGGTGAGAGCTCTGATCCAGCGCGCCTTCATTTTGGGAGCGTCAGCTGGAGACAGCTAATCCGCAAGTGGCCACGAGCCCGGATCCACATTTCCCTACAACATCATTGCATTTGTCAGTTTATTGGTTGATCGCCAGTGCGAGTTGAACTAACATCATCCACTTGCTCTTGCCAAGCTTGCGCTGTGACAGGGCGCTCTTCCCATGTACCATTCTCGACTATCCATAGCCTCCATTCCCACTGCTGACCATCCCAAAATCGTACATATACCCATCCCATCCACAACTGCTCGCCTTGATACACAGTCTCGTGTCCAAGCCATTGCCATGCCGCACCTTTAGCCGCCTGATCATTGAGATCTGCTGGCAGTTGTAAGCCATGGCTGGAGGTTGGATTCCAAAGCTGCCACATAATGTCAACCCTCCAGAGTATTAGAGGAATATTTAAAGATGTTGAAAAAAGGATGATTTTAAGTGTCCTATGCCGACATTTATATTAAAATAGCCTTGTTTGATCACCTGATAATACCCCGAAGTCATGGTTGCTCATGCACAGCACTATCCGGGTATTCCGGAGTAATTGCACCAATTGATAGCCAAGAATATTCATAGTTTGGTTTCTATTGGTTGAGCTGTTAACATGATGTGATAGCTTTGCATACTAGGTGATGTGGCGGCTAATAACCTGCATATTAAAGTAGCTGCCAAGTCATGCATGGTCATGTGGAGCCGGAGTTGGACTAATTGATAACGGAGAAACTTGATAGGCCTTTCCAATTGGTTGAATTGTGAAACGTGATGTGATGGCCTTGCATACGAGGTGATGTGGCGGCTGACAAACGCTGCTGTGGAGTCCTGTGGTATGATTATCTACCAAGAAACATGAGAACAGGAGCCCCAGTGTTGTCCTCTTCGAATTATAAGAGAAGGGTGGTAATATCATGCAGGTTTTATCCAATTCAGAAATATCAGCTCACCTGAGAGCTTCAGGTATATCTGAAGAAGGCGTCCCATTGTTCCCACTGTCCAAATATTTCCCCGTGGTAGGGTTGCTTGTGAAAAGCGATTCCATGATCTAAACTCAGTCTGATACACTGCAACCATGTCGAATCCCGAGGACTATTCTGTTGGATGGATTTGCGCTATCACTGCAGAGTATGTGGCGGCTCAATCTTTTCTCGACGAGGAGCACGGGGGACCGCAATACGTGTCTCCTAACGACAATAACTACTACACATTAGGGAAAATCGGAAAGCACAATGTTGTGGTCGCAGTGTTACCCGATGGAGAGTATGGCATATCCTCAGCCGCCAGTGTTGCAAGAGATATGCTCCACAGCTTTCCAAACATTCGATTCGGTCTAATGGTGGGTGTTGGTGGTGGAGTGCCAAGCTTGAGGCATGATATCCGCCTAGGTGATATTGTGGTTAGTGCTCACGCAACGGGCAGGCTGGCGTTTTTCAGTACGACTTCGGGAAAGCCATTCAAGATATGAGCTTCCAGCAACAAGGATTTTTGAACCAGCCACCTGGTATTCTTAGGGCAGCTGTCCAAGGACTAAGGACTCGGTATGAAAGAAAAGGGAGTCAGCTTGAAAAAGCCGTCACTGCTATTCTTAATGATCATCCGAGAATGAAGCAGAAGTATAAGAGGCCGGACACGAGTACTGATTGTCTGTACCGGGCTGAATTTACTCATCCTCCAGGCAGTGAGTCAAGCTGTACAAACGTTTGTGGTGATAGTCCAGATCGGATAATATCTCGCCCTGAACGGACTGTTGAAGATGATACGCCGACTATCCATTACGGCTTGATTGCATCCGGGAATCAACTAATGAAAGATGCCTCAATACGGGACAAGCTTGCGGCAGACAAAGATATATTATGTTTTGAAATGGAAGCTGCAGGATTAATGAATCATTTCGCCTGTCTTGTTATTCGTGGTATATGCGATTACTCAGATTCCCACAAAAATGATGAATGGCAAGGGTATGCAGCAATGATAGCAGCAGCATATGCCATGGACATTCTCTATCATATACCCGTTACCAGGGTTGAAACTGAAAAGCGAATTACTGGCATTCTTTCTTCGGGTCAGTTCACAAGAGGGCCTATGAATGGAATATAGCTCACCCTTTGATAGTTGAGAAAACTACACAAGATGCTTCTATTGCAATCCAAAACATGAACAGAGCACAAAGACGAAAAGATATTATGCATTGGCTATCGCCGCAAGACGCTTCAGTCGATTATAAAAAAGCCTTGGAACAACGTTATGAAGGTTCTGGCCTTTGGTTCCTGCAGAGCAATGATTTTTCAGAATGGAAGATCCGGCGGAACTCTTTTCTTTGGCTTCATGGCATTCCTGGGTGTGGCAAAACAATTCTAAGTTCTACTATTATTGAAGCCCTTGAAAGTGCTACGGCCAATACGCCGCTCCTTTACTTCTACTTCGATTTCAACGATTCTGAGAAGCAGACCCTCGATGGGCTCTTACGTTCTTTTATCAGCCAGCTGTACTCTACGTGCGAAGAGACAAAAGTTCTTCTGCAGTCCCTATTCGCCTGCTGTGATAACGGACACCGACAACCAACACGTGAGCTTCTCTCAAATTGCCTTTATCGCATGATACTGCAGATTAAAGAAGTCTGGGTCATTATAGATGCGCTTGATGAATGCAGCACCAGGAGTGGTACCTCCACTGAAGGACTGCTATCGTGGATAAAAGATGTCTTAAGCTCCAAGGACAGAAATGTTCACCTTATGATCATCAGCCGACCAGAAGAGGATATTAACTCAGAAATCCGGGAATGGGCATCTGATGACAATATTATTGCTATTGAGAGTAGTCATATTCATGATGACATTCGCTCGTATGTTCACGGAAAAGTGAGGAATGATAGTGGGTTTAAACGTTGGCGATCACGTCCGGATGTCCAGGAGGAGATCGAGACTAGGCTTTTGGATAAAGCAGATGGAATGTAAGTTTTCCCATAACCGACATTATTCGGTCAATTCAATAGAGGAAAGCTAAAATTGAAAGAAGGTTCCTATGGGTTACATGCCAACTCAATGTCTTAAAGAACTGTCTGGACTACCGCAGCCTTTGTACTGAACTCGCATCACTTCCAGATGGCTTAGATGCGACATACAACCGGATTTTGCAGAGCATTCCTTCTTACCACAGACCAAAGGCTATACGGATCCTCCAACTCCTAGCTTTTTCCGACCGCCCGCTGCTCCTCGAGGAAGTTGTTGATGCTATAGAAATCGATACCGAGTCAGAGCCGCACTTCGACTCAAGGTTCCGAATGCCTGACCCGAAGGAAGTTTCAAGATACTGCTCGGGTCTCGTAGTTTTAGGGCTCGGTACTAATGAGAGAGTCCTGGAACTGCGGTTGGCCCACTTCTCAGTGAAGCAGTATATGATGACAAAGAGGGCGAATCATGATTTTATGCAATATCTGCATGAAATGGAAGCGAGAACCACAATCGCAAAACTATGTGTGACATACCTGTTGCATTTGGATGTGGATCTGCCGGTTTCCATAATCAAGGGAAAATTTCCTTTTGCTCGGTATTCCGCACAGTACTGGATGGACCATGCCATTGAGGGTAACAGAGAAGACGTGATATTGCATGGGTTGATCATGAAGCTGTTTGATGTCTATGAGCGACCATATACTACTTGGATTCGCTTGTACAACCCCGACGGATCGAGGGATCAATTGAGAGCTGAAATGATTCAAATTGAGAACCAAAAAGAGAGACCAGCTGCTGCATTATATTATGCTTCACTGGGAGGGTTGGAAAAAGAGGTGAAGGCTCTCATCCGCCAGGGTGAAGATGGCAATTCCCAGGGTGGGTTCTTTGGTAATGCCCTTCAAGCTGCTTCTCATAGAGGTCACGGCAAAGTTGTCCAGATACTTCTGGATCAAGGTGCTGATATCAATATTCAAGGAGGAAATTATGGCAACGCTCTTCAGGCTGCTTCCCAAGGCGGGCATACAACAATTGTTCAAAGGCTGCTAGAAAATGGAGCCGATATAAATGTCCCAGGGGGATTCTATGGCAGCTCTCTTCAGGCAGCCGCCCAAGGAGGGCATGAAACAATTGTCCAAGAGCTATTAAGCAAGGGAGCTCATGTCAATTATCAAGGTGGACCTTTTGGATGTTCGCTTCAGGCAGCTTCACAGGGGGGCATAGAAGAGTTGTCCACATGCTGTTGGATAAAGGAGCCGATATCAACTATCAAGGTGGACCATATGGTAATACCCTTCAAGCAGCTTGTTGCAGGGGCCACAAAGCTATCGTTCAAGACCTGTTGAACAAGGGGATGAATGTGAATAGCTATGGTGGAGAGTACTACAGTTCTCTGCAAGCTGGTTGCCATGGGGGACATGAGGATGTTATCCGAATACTACTGGACGAAGGTGCCGATGTCAATGTCCAGGGCGGAATTCATGGTAGTGCTCTCCAGACAGCTTGTCATGGGGGGTTTGGAAAAATTGTCCAAATGTTGCTGGACAAGGGAGCTGACATCAATATGAAGGGCGAGCCTTATGGATGTGCCCTCCAGGCAGCTTCTCACGGTGGTCACAAGGGGGTTATCCAGCTACTGTTGAAACAGGGAGCTGATAAGGATGTCAACTACCAGGGTGGGAAGTATGGTACTGCTCTCCAAGCGGCCTGTCAGGGAGGTTATACCGAGATAATCCAGATACTACTGGACACAGGAGCTGATGTGAATATTCAAGGTGGAAAATATGGTAGTGCTCTTCAAGTGGCCTGCCGAGAAGGGCATGAGAATATTGTTCGAACATTATTGAACAATGGCGCCGCTATCAACACCCAGGGAGGCTTATATGGCAATGCTCTCCAGGCAGCTTGTCGAGGGGGGCATAAAGGAATTGTCCAGATGCTGCTAAACAAAGGAGTGGAAGATATTAATGCTCAGGGAGGGGTGTATGGGAGTGCTATTCAGGCAGCGTCTTCCAAAGGGCACGACATGATTGTGCAGATGTTACGGGATTATGGTTCCTGAAAGGGATTAAAGTCTCCACTACCACGTGCTCTCCTCCACAACCGGCATCCGCACCTCCCTGCTCCAGATCGGCGACATGTCCATCGGCGACGCCTGGTCGCAATTCATGGGCAGTGAACAAAGAGCAATCCTTCAAACTTCTTGTTGGTATCACCAGCTAGGTAGAGCTGTTAACGATACGATATCGGCACTGTTTCCTCATATCGTCAATCGGCATCGTCAACTTCGAAGTCTGCCGATATCGTATCAGCAATCGACATCGACATTTCCTTAAACTATCGATACGATATCGGCAACTGAAGTTATCGTCGGCGATATATCGTCACCGGTAATTGGAAAATAAGAGAATAGCTACCGGTCCTAGGTATAGGAAACTCTACTATAAAGAGAATGTAAGCTTAGATACTCGTTAATTAGCGCAATCCGCTTCCGTTGCGTAGCCTTACATTTTGTTGTAGCCGTACTATGTGGTTAGATATTTATGATATGTTCTATTCGGGACAGTTGAGTGAGAGCCCCTTGCGTCGGGCCCACGATATTCCGTGCAGGACATCGCACACAAATATCGCTTGGGTATCCCCTCCCTCGAAAGGGAACATCGCCGTTTCGAGGGAGAGCCGGGCTCTCTCTGCGACGGTTTCTTCCAAGAATTCCTTTGCAATGGTGCGTCATAGCTCGGAGGCCCCCAGTCCTACTCCTGGGGGACAGACCGTCTTGGGCTCCTCGATCTATCCACCAGAATATATATGGAATTCCCTCTCGGATACCCAACGGGACTCGTTCATGTCCACTGTGTCAGCGTCCCTGGCCACGGGCGATGGACCGCGCAAGCGCCCACGTATAGATCTCACTACGGAGGAGGATGCCGACCATGGTAGGGTCCCGTCTCTTGTTTTGCCTATCCTCCCCCGCTTCCCTGGCCTCGACCGTGCTGCAATTATAGCCATCTTCGAGCACACCTTCCGCCTAAAGAAGGACCTTATAAAACTGCGTAGCCCCGAGTTTAAAGTCTCGGCACTGGATGGCGAGTCTTTCGACTTAAAATCTACTTTATCTGGCCTGCAATTCCGTAAGGTGATCTTAATCAAGGATTGGGGAAACGACGTATCCCTCTGGGCCTATTGCTTTAGCAACTACGTCGCTATCTGGTGTGAATTCTTCGCTGTAAAGCACCCGGTATACATTAGTGGGATGGTCCTCTTCCACCGTCGCATTTGTGACCTTGCTAGGGTATATAAATGGCAGGATTGTATCCTGTAAATGGCCCTAGACTACCACCAGATGGTTGTTGATAAAGGCGACCTCACTGTTTCTCTTAGTGACTGGGAGATTGGGAAAGCCCTCGAAAGCTCCTACCTACGCCCGGACAACGTACTCCCAGCGAAGACGGCACCGACTACTCCAACCACTCGGTTAACGCGCTCTACTGCTGCCCCAAACAACGATACTGTTATCTGCGAAAAGTTCAACACTTCTGCCGGCTGCCACTGGCGAACATATCACCGCAGACACGTCTGCTCTAAGTGTGGCAACGACTATTCCGTGATAAGCTACAGAGTGAAACCAGCGAGTTAGGACTACGCTAGGGGTGGCCCTGATATAGCTCAAACGCTATCGCCGCTAACTAGCTGGCTAGCCCCACGTCCTAATACTTCTATTCAATTTATAGTCTTCGACCCCTCCCTCCCGCCTCTGCGTGATTCTGCTTCCCCCTTCATCACCTTAGCGTGGGAAACTCTCCTAGAACACTACCCTGGCGACCTTAGGACTATTTGTAGCGGTATCCTTACATTCGGTTGCTGTCTCGGTTGTACGACCTGGCCGACAGACCGTCGAACTCCGAACCACCGTATTGAGGAACCCTCTCTTATTACCCAGAAGCTCTCCTATAACCTATTAAGTCGTCGGGTGCAATTATCCACGGGTCCCGTTGTTGTTTCCCTACTAGGGCTAGTGCCTAAACACGACAGGGGCTAGCGCCGGATCTATAACCTTTCCTACCCACACGGTCGCAGTATTAACGAGTCTATCCCTAACTCCGCCTCTGCTATACAATATATCTCTATAGACAACATCTTCGACCTTATACGCACGTCCGGTCGAGGTTGCTATATCATCAAACGCGATATTAAGGATGCCTTCCGCAATATCCCCGTCGCCCCTACTGACCGACCCCTCCTAGCCTTCTCGTAGGATAACAAGACATATATAGAGTGCTGCCTTCCATTCGGCCTTACAACTATACCCTTCATCTTCAACCTGTTTGCCGAGGGTCTTAACTAGCTCCTAACTGCCTATTTACCCTTAGCTTCTATCGTGTATTACCTTGATGATTTCATCGCTATTTTCCCTTCCTCCGTAGGAAGTCTCTCGAAAGCTCTTACCACTTTCAATACCGTATATATTCCTCTTACGGATACGCTAGGCATCCCACGGAATGACTCGAAAGACGCCGCGGGTACCGTGGTCAGTGTCCTTAGGGTCGAAATCGACACGTTACTTCTGCAGGCCCGCATACCTCGCGATAAGCTAACACGCACATCTTCCGAAGCCGCGTCGCTACTACAGCTAGATCGTGTCTCGCATAAAGCTTTGCAACGTGTAGTCGGTTTCCTCCAACATTGCTTAATAGTTATCCGTCTTGGCAGAGCCTGCCTTCAGTCGCTCTACAGCGACCTCGCTTCCTTCCCGTCTTACTAACGCTCCGTTCGCCGCCTATCCTATAATAGCCGCGGGGATCTTGCCTGGTAGAGGGACACTCTCCCGTTATTCAACGGCATCCATTTCTTCAACAAGAGCCGCCCCCTAGTTGCCCTCTACATAGACGCGTGCGACTTAGGTCTAGGCCTCTTCTTCTTCTATACGTCATCCTAGGACTCCGCTAGGGACTGGATATCTGCAGCGCCTCACCTGCCTTCCACCCATGCGGCAATTATGGACGGCTCCTCCGCCTGCAGCGACGTGGCCCACATTAACATCAAGGAGGTCTCCGCAATCCTGCAGGCCTTCCTTCTATATAGCCCCTATTAGGCTTATTATCGTGTCCTCGCTTTCACAGACAGCGCCGTCGCATTTCATGGCCTGTCTAAGCAGGCACTCCGGGGGCCGGCCCATCGCTAACTGCTCAAGCTTCTCAGCGTAGCAGCCGCCCTTAACATCGAAGTCCAGCCACACTAGCTACCTTCATCAGAGAACCTGCTTGCTGACGCACTATCCCGTTCCGATTATAAGACCATCGCTGACATTTGCCCACAGTGGACGAGCTCCTTTCCCTTGCTCCGCCCGCCTGGTTCTGCCGACAGCCAATCTTCGTGAATGCTGGCCATGAAAAGCTGGTTTGGAATGGCCTTGCAGAGGGCAATAGGAGAGAATATCGCTCTGCACAGCGCTCGTATGTCCGTTGCTGCGCTCTTATAGGAGTACAGCCGTGGCCAGCCACAGCCTCGGCAGTCTACACTTGGCTAACGGAACGCCTACTGGGCGCGGGCGGCTCCCCGCCTGTGAAGCCCGATTCAGCTATGTCTGAGCTCTCGGCTCTCCGCGCGTATCACATCGATAACGGTCTGCCTGATACAATTTTTGACCTCCACGCAAAGCATTTTCGTCGCATGGTCGATGGCGCTCGCCGGCTACAACCACCCCGCCGAAAACGGATTCGAAACCCAATTTCACGCGCCTCAATCATAACCCTTTCGAGTAATATCTCACACCTCCCTACCCAACCGCGAAGGCTCTCAGAGGCCCAGAAAAATGACCTTAATCTTGCCGTGGCCGCCCGCGTTGCCTTCGCCGGATTCCTTCGGGTGGGGGAATTTACATACTCAGCTGCCGACCTTAGAAACACTCAAGTCTTCACTGCTACCAAGTTAACCCGCGGGGATATCAGGTTATCCCCCACCATGGACCACGTCCTCCTCACGTTAAAGAGAAGCAAGACCGACCGAAACCACGAAGGTGTCAATATTGTCCTTGCAGCGACAAACGATGCTGCCTGCCCCGTTGAAGGCCTCTCTAAGCTATTCCTCCACGACTCACAACCCACGACTGCGCCCTTATTTACGCTCTCCTCCGCCCTTTCACCTCATCCGCCTTCCAACGTGCGGTTATCTCTAAGCTCAACCGCGCCGGGGAAGATACCACGGGACTTAAGGGTCACAGCTTCAGGAAAGGGGCAGCACAACACGCCTACAACGCAGGCTTAAGAAATGACCACATTCAAGCCCTTGGGAGATGGTCTTCCGAAGCATTCCGCCTTTACTTCACGACACCTACAACAACACTATGCGCCTGGAACCGTCAATTCCAGACCGGTCATCCAACTCCGGTCTCATCTTCCATACCACCAGCCCCTCCACCATCCTCTTTTGGCCCACCGGGTCATTTGGGCCCGCCTGCAGCCCTCACAACGCTGTAGCCCTCCATCAACGAGGCCTACATCGCCAGGGTTCAGACCGCAGGTGCCCCGTTTGGGCCAAAATATCTTATTCGTCTCCATTTGTGCCAGTGTAGCAATGTTTGGAATAGAATATGATAGTCCAGCAAGGCAATACAAGTTCGATGAAAAGCTCTGAGCCAATGCAAATTTGACAAACAACATCATATATCCATTGTATATACTTCCTTCCCGGTACTTGAGGTTGATCGACCGGAAACCCAAACACTATACGGTACAAGCAAGCGCGTTCGCCAACAACTCCAGACAACCAGAGAAGTGATAGGCGAATGTGCAGACAAAGGGCAAGATCACATGTCAATCCGCTGTATAATCAGTACACCACATTCGACCGATCGTCTGCCTAGCGAGGCACAATTCGCAACTCAACGGACAGTACCGCTGACCCCTTCGTTGGTGTGCGCTTAAGGGACTTGAGGTCAAGTGGCCGCATAATATCTCGAAGACACAGGCGGTCGTAGCAAAAATCGAGAAGCGCTCGCTAAGTCTGAAGGATATATAGATCCAACAATCACATTGACAAGTAGTGGTACAGTTCTGTGATCTAATACTGTACAACATCAGTTGGACTATTTGTCTAGAGTCCAAGATTTGACAGCAAAATTAACAGTGGTCGCGCGACAGAGGGTGAGTCTCACCTGTTCTCACCCATTTCTCACCCTACCCTGTCTATTGCGCACTCACCCCATCTCACCCCTACTCGCACGGCCACAAAACGGCGATCACCCATTTCCACCCCAAGTTAAACTACCTGAATTGCTAGGATTGGCAAATCGTGCGTGGCTTATGTGTCCCGACACTTCTAGATATTTCCCCAGACTACTTGTGACACTTGCTCACAAATGACTGGATTGATATTCCTTATTGCTCTTGGTGTTTGGATCGGGTTTATAGTTTTTGCACTGTATCGGGAGACTATCTGTACAGCTTGACGATATACCGCTAGCATATAAGTCATACGTCTCTCCAACAAATCTCACCACAACATCTACCTCTCAACGAGTCTACTCCCTCTCCTCTATTCCCCTTGATAATCCCTAGTTTTACACGCTCTTCGTAGCTTTAAAATCAGTACGACACGCGTCTTGACAAACTTCCTTACATATCACTACTTGATGCATAGTAGTACCATTCCACCAATTGTTCGATCCATGAACACAGGTATGACGTCGAAGGACCAGGTCCCCCCTATGCTGGGGAGTTTCACATTTCTGGGTGGAAGTATCAAAGGGCTTGTCATATGATGTGACTCAGTATATGATATGATAACGTATTCCACAAGCGAGTGGGCCACACAAGCGGGCGGGCCACCTTCCCCAAAATCGCGTCTCCATACAACCCTACCTAATTCAACAGCCTACCATGCCACCAATTCGTACTGAATCTTCGCAGAAATCGGCCAATCAGGAGGGCAGGATCCTATTAGCCCTTGACGATATCAAAAATGGCCGCATCAAATCTATTCGCGCAGCAGCGAAGCTATATGATATCCCCCGTCAAACGCTATCACGCCGGACGAACGGTATTATCTCACGCGTCGATACACGCGCAAATTCGCATAAATTGACTCAATTAGAAGAGGATTCGCTTACTGAATGGATACTCTCTATGGATTCGCGTGGAGCAGCGCCTAGGCACACTACTGTACGAGAAATGGCCAATATTCTCCTTGCAGCGCGTGGAACTACCCCCCTATTAACCGTTGGCGTTAATTGGGTATCAAATTTCGTTAAACGACGCGATGAGCTTCGAACACGCTTTTCTAAGCGATATGATTATCAGCGCGCTCTTAACGAGGATCCAAAGGCTATAAAAGAGTGGTTTTTGATGGTGCAACGTGCAATTGAGGAGAATGGGATTCAACCGGAGGATATCTACAACTTTGATGAGACAGGCTTTGCGATGGGCCTTATATCATCGCAGAGGGTGGTGACACGAGCAGAATACTACGGTCGGCGATCGATTCTACAGCCTGGTAATCGCGAATGGGTTACTGCAATTGAAACGATATGCGCTGACGGCTATTCACTGCCGCCCTGTATTATCTTCAAAGGCCAGGTCTATATCGCTGGTTGGTTTGAATCGTCGAATCTCCCGAGGGATTGGCGAATCGAAGTGTCGGATAATGGCTGGACTACCGATGAAATCGGCCTTCGCTGGCTCCAAAAGATCTTTATTCCATACACTACTTCGCGTGTACGAGGGCGATTTCGGCTGTTGATTCTTGACGGGCACGGTAGCCATCTTACACCTCAATTCGATCGAATCTGTGCCGAAAATGATATCATACCACTTTGTATGCCTTCACATTCGTCTCACTTACTTCAACCGCTTGATGTTGGGTGCTTTGCAGTGCTTAAGCGTGCGTACGGTCGCTTCGTGAGCGATTTAGCCCGAACAGGCTATAATCATATCGACAAGCTTGATTTCCTCGCTGATTACCCACGCGCGAGGATAGAAGCTTTTCAGCCGAATATTATTCAAAGCAGCTTCGCAGCTACTGGTATTGTGCCAGTTGATGCTAGTCGGGTGCTTTCTAAGCTTAATATATCGCTTCGAACGCCTCCACCACCATCAAGTCGACCAAGCAGCAGATCTAGCCAATTCACACCAAAAACGCCCAAAACAGCGATTCAGCTAGAAAAGCAAGCTTCTATGCTTAAAGAGCTTCTAAAACAGCGATCGCATAGCCCGCCTACACCGTCAAAAGTCATGCTTGATCAGATCATCAAGGGCCACTGGATAGCACTGCATAACACTGCGCTACTAGCCAAGGAGAACGACGATCTACGCGCAGCGAATGAAAAGAAACTTCAAAAGCGCACTCGATCGACTAAGCGGATTGCACACAAAGGGGGCCTAACAATCGAAGAGGGCCTACAGCTAGCTCAGCAGCCAATTCAGCCAGTAGAAGCTGATGAGGTAGTATCGCATGAAGCGGTCGATCTGCCTAATCAGCCGGTTCGACCGGCCAGGAGGGCTCCGCCTACCTGCAGTGGATGTGGCCAAATTGGCCATAGGATTACTTCATGTAAAAATCGTATTATCTAGTTGAATTAATGGGTGTTGGTTGATATAATCGAATTTGAAGTTTTGGAATGGGGGTGAGTGGCCCACCCGCTTGTGTGGCCCACTCGCTTGTGGAATACGTTATAGTTTTGAACAAAATATAGGGATATAGATCGTCCAGCCATGATTCCTGTCGGGATGTATCCTCCCGTCAGAATAAGCAAAGACATGTTGTACGTAATCTTGCTAAGCTGCGGCTCCCGCCGCATGGATTCGGGGGCATTGGACGAGGACTTGGAACACACATCTATCTACATTTTGAATCAATTGACTTTTTGCTTTACGGCATAACACTGTCCACTTAACTGTGTACACAGTACCTAGCTGGTGATACCAACAGTTACTGAAGTGAGGTATTTAAATACTGGTAGTTCCGAAGCGCTGTTGGGACCCTGAATGTTCCCCCGCCTTCTACTTACCAAATCCTGATCGGAATAACAAGTTTGATCAATAGGGTTTCCACGATGGCGATTGGGGTGGAATATGAATGCGTAGATAGCCAAATATTGGTGAGCTGGAAATATTGATTGATTTGAGTGGGAAGTATCAATTATGAAGAACAAAAGTCGGTGTATACAGCGGTATCATAATGTCAGTCCAAACCGGGGGTGCCTTGAACGTTATCACGCACCCTGTCAAAGCTTTGACAATTCTGAACGGCGAAAACTTCCAGATCAGAGACGACCCTATATAATCTGAGTTGTCTCTCATCGACAAATTGAAATTTTTAAGCGAAGCGTATGGAATCCCCTCCCATCATAGTGCACCTTGTGAACGGTTAGAACCTTGCTCGCACATAATGCTAAGCCTCGCTAGGTTCTCCCCGAAACCTATCGCGGCCTCCCCGGTAGTAGATAAAATGTGATCTGTAAGTTCAGCTCCGCTATATAAAATGAATATTTTCAAGATAGAGTAGCACAGTTCCAGTGGAGGAAATAGACCACTAATGATGAGACGTGCGGTGACGACAATACATTCCAGATCTTGATTGTCTCCATTCTCCCCCACGAGCTTCGTGAATAGACTGGCGGACGCATACTGTATATAATGTTCCGAGGCAAAACCCGATTTGAGTTCTGATATATGCTTATCGTCGGACAACAGAACGGTTTCGATATAGCGAGCCATATCATTGTAGTTGATTTGAAAACATAATTCACTCTGGTTAGAGTCTAAGAACGTGTAAATGTCAGATCCAATGCATTTTAGGAGCGGAATATCCATACACCACTCGCGTATTATCGTAGTCAAATCATTTTTTGAAAGCAACAGTTGGCTATAGCCAAGTAGCATTTTAAAAGCCGCCAATTCCCAGAATTGATCTTTTCGAGGATTGATTTTGTCCAAAACGGTCTAAAGCCCTTTAGAGAAGGAGACAGTTTGACGGCTTATATGCAAGTCCTAGTTTTTAACTAGTTAAATTGAAAGAGGGGTGGCGAATATTAACGTTGGTGCTGTAGCTTATAGTTATGGCTTACAGGGCGCGTTCAAAACCTAGTAATGTAGTCATAGTAATAAGGACCAGGCTATAGTCGCGACAATCTGTAGAAATGGTAATTTACGAAGACAAGGTAAATGACATTGTAAGAGGACATTAAAGCTTAGCTGTATTAGTTGAGCGGTTAGAACTGAGAAAGCTGATAGGTTTCGAGCATTAAGAGGCGGCGGCGTTTATACAGA